TTGAACTCCAGTCCAGTACCTTAACCGCCACACCCACCTGCTGGCCCCAGATTACATTTAAAAACAGCTTTATTGAGGAATAATTGACAGTATAGAAATAGCAAGTTTTGACTTATAACTACACCCCAAAAATAGTTTGCCCATGTCTTAGTTGGGTTTAGTTTTGTTTTGGTGTTTATCATTTAGCTTTGAAAGTGCTTTATCTATTTCATATGTAAATCCTTTATCAGGCATACATAGCATGTCATTTCATTCTCTTTTTTTGTTTGTTTTTTTGGAGAGGTTTTTGCTATAGGGTGCGTGCACTCACCAGAAAGACAGAGAGAGACAGAGAGACAGAAAGCGAGAAGTCACCCCCCAGGGAGGATGGTCACACTGCAATCCCTTCTCCTCTATTCTCCTCTCAGGATCTTGGGCACACATGCACATGCACCAGGCGTGAGTTTAAGCCACCAGGTCTGGGACTCGAACCGTGGTCCACTACATGGGAGTCCAGCAACATAGCCATTACGCTAACTGCTGGTCCCTGATTTCTCTTTTTCCCTCTCACTGATGCTATTTATTCCTCTCTGGTGAGTGCAAGACCTTAAAAAAAAAAAGTGATGGGATGTGCACACACCTAGATTCTTCACAGAATAGAGAATCAGAGGAAAAATAATTGCAGTGTGACCAGGCTGGTAGGGGAGTACGTTCCCTCCTTCCTTCCCTCTCCATATCTCCCTTTCTCTCTCCTTCTCATGTGCACACATATATTGCAGATACCAAACTTTCAGCTACTGATTTTAGCAGATATTGATCATTTTCCTATATTTAGTACATGACATTCTGCTGTAAGGAAGGCTTTTCCCTTTTTCTTCATTTGTGTATATTTATAACTTTACATAGACACGTGGGCTCTTCCTTTATTCATTGGATTATAATCCTTTATTATGTATTGGGACAAAATTGTCCCAGAGTTGATTTCTGTGCCATGTGTCCATCATTCTTTCATTGCCAAAGGGTGTGTGTGTTTGCCAGAGAGAGAGAAGCACCTCCGCAGGGCGTTCCTGCTGCAGCCTTCTTCCTAGCGTCTCCACCCCGTAAGAATTTGGGCATGCGTGTACATGTGCTGGTGTGTTTTCCAAGCCTCTGGGCCGGGATTCACGCAGCTGTGGGCTGACCCCCTCAACCACTGCACCCCAGGGCTGTCCTGGGTGCCCATCATTCTGACATGCCCTTTCTTTAGGCACCTCTTTTTTAGCACAAAAAGGTATTCTGTGCCCCAGCTCTGGAACCAGCCATTTCTCCTAGGAGTCCTGAATTTTAGTTACAGTAGTTTTTGGAAACCAAGACTTGAGCTAGGATCTGGTGTGTGTGCATGTGTGTGTGTGTGTATGTGAGTATACTATGTCTGTCTGTCTGTCTGTACACAACTGTGAATTCATGCTGATACTACCATCCACCCTCACGGCCTGCATTGCAGTCTTCCCCCTTTCTGAGTTTGGAGCTCTTTCCCCGCAGTGAAAATGTGGCTCCTGGTGTCTGCAGTTTATTTTCTTGCTCATTTAAACTTAATATACAGAACGTGATTGTAAAACTGCCAAGCCATGCTGACTGCTAAAAGCAAACTGTTAAATGGAGCTTAATATTTGTTTTTCGTTCTTTTGTTTTTCTTTTTTGTCTTTTAAGTTGATTTTTATGTGGGGGGGGGGTAAACAAGGATCTCTGACAGGGTCAGTGTGATCCTCCCCCAACCTCCAGACAGCCAGGATCCAGGGGTCCTTCAGGTGGACCCGTGGGTCCAGGCTGACTCAGGATCCAGACCTCAGGCCTTCTGGTGACTGTCCTATCTCATAGTACCGCTCCACTCCCTGCACCACTGTGTACGTAAAATTTCACACGCTGGAGTACACAGTGTTTGCTGTATACTGTGGCAAGCAGGTAGGTCCTTATATCCCACAGCCGTATCCAGACTTAAGAGTGTTACGTGTATCCTCTCAGGAATGTCCCTTGAGCTTTTTCTGGTCAGTCCCCAACCGAGACCCAGAAACAACCACAACATTTTTCCCCAACGATTTAATTTTTTTTTTCATAAATTAGTTTTGTCTTTTCTGAAAAGTTTATGTAAATTTATATAGTATGCACTCTTCTGTGTCTTGCTTTCTTTTGCACAATATGATGTATGTAAGATTCAGCGATGTTTTTGGATGTGTGGGTGGTTCTATCATTTTATTACCAACTAGTAATCCTTCATGCAATTATGCTGCATATTTTGCTAATTTCCTATTTATAGGCAGTTGGGTTGTTTGCACTTGCAGGCTTGCAGTGGTCTTTTTTCATATGTCAACCTGGCTAGGCTACAACCCCTAGTTATTCAAACACTAATCTAGATGTTGCATTACAATGCAATTAAAGTCCACAGTCAGTTCACATTAAAGAAGGGAGATTATCTGCAGTAATCTGAGTGACTTTCATTCAGTCCATTGGATGTTTTTAAGAGCAGAGCTGAGGCTTTCCTGAAGAAGGCATTCACCGGGAGTGCAGTAACTTCAGCCCAGCCTGAGTACTCCAGTCTGCCCTTTGGACCTGGCTCATCAGGTCCCATAATCACAACCAATTTCTCGCGATAGATTTCTTCGTAAATATCTTCTACCAGTTCTGTTTTGTGGGTTGAATCCTAACTAAGACCAGGCCATTATGAGTAACCCTGCGCTGAACATTCCTTCTGTACAGTTACTATGGCCATACATTTCCATTTTCTACTGGGTATACCTAGGAGTAGGATTTCCAGGTGGAAGGGTAGTTATATGTTTAATTTTATAAGAAACTGATCAAAAGTTTTCTGAAATTCTTTTACCATTTTATGTTCTACCGGCAATATGAAGGGTCTTCAAAAAGTTCATTCAAGATCTGTATCATGAAAAAGCTACATATGGATTTCAATATTTGTTGGCACCCAAATTTATGCTTTATCTATTTTCTCATAGGTTTTGAAGTCCCCTTATATATTAGATTTCTGTTTGTATAGCCTCATCCACATTTAGTGTTGTCAGTCTTTTTTATTTTATCATATTTTATAATGGTATATTATAATGGTTTATAATGGTATCTCACTGTTTTTTTAGTTTATACTTCTTCAATGACTGATAATGTTGGGCAGTATTTCGGTGGTTTGCCAATTGCATATCTTCCTGTGTGAAGTTCATGTTTGAGTGTCTTGCTCATGTTTCTTTTTTTTTTTTTTTTTTTTGGGAAAGTTTTTCCAAAGGGGAAAAGGGGGGGCAACGTGGC